ATGCCCCCCCCCCCCCCCCCCCCCCAAAACAAACTTGTCAATTGGGCTAATCGGCGACGGAGAGAAGGGGGCTGGAGTGTAAGGGGTAGGGAGATTATGGGGTAACAACCATTACTTTTATTAGATATATTTAGTTTGAAACTTTCAAAATTTTATTTTGTTATATATACTGATACACAATGCAAATGGAAAATAATTTTGAGTTTTTTTGTCTTAAACAAGATAAACATTGAGTTTCAGTTAAACAAAAATAGTAATATATATTAGTCCAAAAATAGTTTTATTAGATATATTTAGTTTGAAACTTTCAAAATTTTATTTTGTTATACTGATACACAATGCAAATTGAAAATAATTGATGCTTAAAGTTTATCTAGTTTGACTCGAAAAAGTCAAACTGGACAAATACATTGGGACAGATGTAGTACATACGGAGTATCAAAGAAAAAATCTGGGACCTGTACAAAAGTTGTTTTACCGGGAGAAAAAGCAATTATTTTAACAATAATATTCTCTTTGTCCAATATATAAAAAATTAAATATTTTGTTTTCAAAAAAAATAAAAAAAAGTGAAAATGATAAGATTATTTTAAAAAATAAGTGGTTAAAATGTGAGCGAAATAGTTTGGATTATATACATATTTCTAAAAAAGAGAAAGGTTAAGATTGAAGTTTTTTGATATTTTTACAAATAGGGCAAACTCTTATGTGGTCTTTGGGTCACTAATTATTCTATGATCATCATTATTATTATTATTGTTGTTGTTGTTGTTGTTATTATAAAGTTATTATAATAATTTTAAATTTTAATTGAATTAGATAAAATCTATTCAAATCACATCAGATCTAATCATATCGGGGCTAATCACATTTAACTAGAGCAAATCTAATTATATCATATCATCTTTAATCATATCGGATCAAATCATTGGACAAGATCTTCAAAAAAATCAGACTAAATCCTATCAGATTAGACAAACAAAATATAGCCTTAGTCAGAGTTGTTTTAATGCAAACTTCATTTCCCTACATTTTTGGCAAAATGTGAAAGAATAGTTCAGTTTTATAAATGGGTGTTGCTATATTCATACTCAATAGTCAATTTGGTTAAATTCATCCCATATATATTAAAATGGATAACTTTTATTCTTAAAAATACAAGAGGATTTGCTAAAAATAGTCGATTCAGCACGCACTTGATAAAATAAGATTTTAATATCATAAAATGGCAAATTAATTTTGGATCCTTAGATTCATATTCATTTTTTCAACCTTTATAAACTAAATGATTTTATGTAATGAGCATTGTAAAATCAAAAATATCCACCTATGAGTTTATATGAAACATATGAGAAGATCCACACTCTTATAAAATAACATTATTTTTAGGATGGGGCTACATTTCAAGCTGACCAATGCTATGAAGGGTTTGTTCAATTGAGTTGGAAAAGTTAACTTCGATTTTTGTCCAAATTTTTCCAGTTTTGTTAAAGAGCATCTCACATCGGAAAAGTGTGAGGAAATTGATCGATATATAAGCTCTTTAGTTGAACTAACTAATCGATTGGATTCAATCTTTTAATGTGGTTCAACCCAAGTGTCTTATTGCCGAATCTAGTTGTCCATACCCATCCTAAATTCTATCATGGTATCAGAGCAGGTTTTAGCCCACCTCGTTTGTCAAGGTGTCCGTCTAGACGTTCATTCCTAGTGGCCCGTTTGTCTTTAGCCCAGTTGTCCGTATGGAGTGTGTACCCAACGGCCTTTGGCATGTTTAACACGATTGCTCGTCTGGAAGTGCATACCCAGTGGCTCGTGGTCTTTAGGTGTTGGCGCTCAAAAAAAAGTCAAGGGATTGGGAGTTCATTTGCAAGTGGTCAACCGGTTAGATTCAAAATGGCCCGATTGTCCACTTGAGGGGGAGTGTTAGAGTTCATCCCACATCAGAAGTTGAATAGAAAAGTTATCGGTATATAAGGTCTTGAGTTGAACTAAGTAATCGATTGGATTCAATCTTTTAATGTGGTTCAACCCTAGTGTCTTATTGCCGAATCTAGTTGTGCATACCCATCCTAAATTCTATCAAGTTTCTTCTAATTTTTTATAGTTTCTTCTAATTTATTTTAGATTTTTCAAACTCATTCTACTTTCTTCCAACAACGACTTAAAAAAAATATTTACATGTGGTGAATATACAATAACATCATATCCATATTTATAACATACCACCTCAAATACAGGCAAAGATGAGTTATTTTTTATCCAAAATGATTTTTCATACATATTTATTTTGGTAATTATTTAATTGAGTGCTTTTTTAACACTTTTTTTCCTAATATTTTCTAACTCCCAGTTGTTGCAACACCTTCTATTTTCTTCAAACTCTTTCAGTTTCTTCCGACTTCTTTTAGTTTCTACCAATACTCAACTCTGTTTTTACAACCCAAACAAATAGAGCCGAAGTGATTTAATTTTGTTCACTCGATAAAATCAATCATGAAGCCTTTACGAGCTCTCGTATGCATTTAGATCATGGTCAAAGCCACATGAGCATAGTTGCAAAACATTAAGAGAGTGTTTTTTAATGTTATTGATTCTATTGCAATGTAGTATTTGTTCATGGTGAGTGTGGTTCCTGCCACATAAGAGTGCATTTTTACCCCTAACTCATTTAGAATTCGGCCTCTCTTCATATTGTTTTACTTTTTACGTACTTATCCTTATTGTTTAAATATAACTATAACAAGATCAAATTAGATTGGACTTTTATAAAATCATATCAAATCTAATTGAATTAGATGAAAAGAACAAACTCAAAATATCTTCCCTCTCATCCCCTTCGTCTAATAATATCACACGAAGGGACTCCATGAATGTCTAAATGCCCATGAAAATTCTAGATATCCTTAGAGTTTCCAACTCTGGCTATGTTTCAATGTGGGAAAATTTATTCTCTCTGGCACGACCAATCAAAATAATGACAACATTAAAATCACCACCGTTTGGCAAGTCTTCTTTTATAACGTTATGTTTTCTCTGCATGGCTTCCCTCGTTATGCATGTGTTTTAGATATGCATTCTTCATCCTCATTCTAGGGATTCAAATTAAAGGTCGTAGAAAATCACAACTTTAATGAAAATAGTTATAAATCATTTATACATGAGTCGAAGGGTGAAAGAGAGCATAGAAGATCAAAGATACCTAGGTCGCACGATGAAGGAAGACAACTAATTTTATGGTGTTGTGCCATTTGAAGTGACATCATTCTGCTCGTCCTTGTTTTTTAAAATTTGAACATAAAATAACATCGACGAGGCTTTAACACTTCGTTATTTTAATTTCTTTTTAATTTCGTTACTTTAACCTCTTTTGTATTATATTTTTTGCATTTTAATATAATAAAATCAAATTCTAAAAATGTCAACAAGATAAATATAATAAAAATTTATATATATTTATATAAACACTAATATATATTACAATTTTTATTTCATTGATATTCAATATTTGTCTAACTTAATAAACTAAATGAATAAATTGGGAATAGAAATGTTTTCAACCCATTCCAATAACAACAATAACATAGTTGGATCCCATGTGAGTAGGGTCGGGGAAGGGTGTGTGTACGCAAACCTTGCCCCAACTTGAAAGTAGAAAGATTGTTTCCAAGAAACCCTTGGTGCATAAATAAAAACATCGCAGGAGATACATAAAGCAAAAAAGGTAGTGATAAAGGACAAAACATACAGAAACAAAGAACAAATTAAGGATTACAAAGAAAAAGTATTGCAAATGGAGAACACCAAGCATATAAAGCATACAATGCATGCACCAAGTACATATAGCTCATCCTAGCCTAAAACGCCTATCTAACTACTCTAGTCTTAGTCCTCCAAACACTACTATCTAAGACCATATCCTCACTAAGGACAAAAAGAACCAAGTTCTTTCTAATCACTTCCTTTCAAGTCTTTCTAGGTTTACCCTTCCTTTACTCTCACCTACCGTTGTAAGCCTCTCGCATCTCCGCATAGGAGCGTCAACATTTCGCCGTCTCACATGCCCAAATCATCTTAACCTATCTTCACGCAACTTGTCTTCCACAAGAGTCATGCATACATACAGGTCCTCGAATAACCTCGTTCGGGATCCTATCCAACCTCGTTCGTCCACACACACATCCACTGTAACATCCTCATCTCTGTAACATGAAGTCGATGAACGCGGATTTTCTTAACAATCCTTTTATAATAAATAACGACAAATTATATGTTATAGCCACATGCACATTCTTTTTTATGAGAAAACTTTAGAATGAATACTAGGTTAAAATAAAAAATAATAAATTTAAAATAAACATTTCTATTGATTCAAGATGAGAATAATTCTATACAAGTACAAAATGACTTGCAGAAATGGTTTCATAGATTTCAAAAAATTACTTTCGGGTACCTTCAATTTTCTGGTAATAACTCCCAGGTCCCACATTTTCTGAAATATACTCTGGGGTCCCCTTGATTTGTTGGTAAGAGCTCTCAGGTCCTACATTACTTGAAATATACTTCGGGCTCCTTAAAATTTGTGATATTATACTCAGAGGGTACATTATCTCAATTTAGGCGTTAGATTAAAAGTTATTTTACTTTAACAAATTGATAAATTTTATTTTAACTTAATAAAATAATGACTATAAATGTAAAGTTTCGTATATTCAGAAAAACAGAATTTTCAATTATAACAGTCAAATAAACAGAATGTGCCCTTAGAGTACATTACCACAAATTTTAAGGACTTTTGGAGTATTTTGGATAATGTAGGAATTGAGAGTTCTTACTAGAAAATCAAGGGTGCCCCGGAATATATTTCAGAAAATGTGAAACTGAGAGTTATTACCAAAAAATCGAGTGTACCCAATAGTAATTTTATGTCAAAAGTTTTCTCTGCATTTTTTATTTGTCCTTTTGATTCATACGCTTAAATAAAATGTGAAGACGTGCTGATAAAATCATTTTCCCCAAAAACTCTTTGTACTATACATCGAGTACCGATGAAACCATTCAGTCTCTAAACTCAGCAAACCATCATAGACCCGATCTAGAGTAGTTTGCCTAGGTGGTAATTTACACCATCACAACAAATACATATGGCTCATCCTATCCTAAAACTACTTTAGTTATAGCTTTCCAAACATTTTTATCTACGGTCATATCTTCGGTAATGACAAGAAGATCCAAGCCCTTTCTACTTACTTCCTTCCAGGTCTTTCTAGATCTATGCCTTCCTTTACTCCACTTACTATTGTAAGCCTCTCGCGTCTCCGCACAAGAGCGTCAACATTTCGCCGCCTCACATGCCCAAACCATCTTAACCTATTTTCTCGCAACTTGTCTTCGACTGGAGCCATGCCTTGCCGACCCGATGTTCTCGGATAACCTCGTTCGGGAACCTATGTAACCTCATTTAATTTGTCCACACATTCATTGTAACATCATCATTTCCGCAACATGAAATCAATGAAAGTGGATTTTCTTAATAACCTATTTCAATATATAACGACAAATATAATTATACTCCCTCCGTTCCCAAATTGATTACAAATTGTGGGTTACGAGTAAAATTTCTTACTTTTTGAAATCATTTTATTTACAAATTGGCATATCAATAAGATATAAAAATTACATATTAAAAAACTACGTCAAAAGTTATACAAAACAAGAGGTGACAAGAATATTTTATTTTATCAAATATTTATTGAAATTGCGTAAACAAATAAAAGTTATCGAGAGGAGAGAGAAAAAAATTATAATCTATTTAGGGACGGAGGGAGTATGATATAGTGAGATGCACATTATTTTTTATGAGTAGACTTCAGAATGAATATTAGGTTAAAATTAAACATTTTATGGAGTATTAATTTAAAATAGACAATTCTATTGACTCGGGTACAAAATAAAGTAACTCGGCGGAGATGGCTTCAAAAAAATTTCTCTGAATTTCTGATTTGTCCTTTTGATTCATACGCTGAAATAAAATGTGAACGCGCGCCGATAAATTCATTTTCCCCAAAATTTTCTGTGTACAATACTCATCCAGTATCGGCGAAACCAGACAGACTTTGGAAATTCCATTTTCAAACCTCAAATTGTTTCTCATATCGGTTCAACATTTTTCATTGCTATTTCTCTACCAATCCCCTTCCCTGACGTCAACCCATCTCGGTTCTCTCCATTTCCCCACTTTATATCGATACGCGCATCAATCCTTCTGCTCGTTGAAAGGCTCTGAATTTGATATCTGAATTGCTATTTTTAGGGTTTATTCTGAAATTGTTCTTCCGGAGAAAACTAGGCTCAATTGATTCTTTCAGGAAAAGATTTCAATTGGCCTCCTCGTTTTGGGTTTACCCCTATACATAAATATATAGATACCTGTGGGATAGGTGTTGGTATAAATTCGAAGGCCCCGTCTATCATATATATTTCGAGTTGTATAAACATTTTTAGGTGATGATATAAAGTTTTGGGCTTTTGAGGTGCTTGGAAAATATGTTGGGGGAAGGACTGCTGTTGAATGTGAGCCAGACTGGTGATGATTGGTTGTGCGGTGCCTCAAAGTCTCACAGGAGCCAAAGCCAGAGGTTAAGTGGTCCTCAGAATCATCATAACGGAGATCATAGCAACGGAGTTAAGAGCGACTTTGCCCTAGGAGCTGCTGCCCCGTGTGATGTTCGAGCAACCGGGGATGATGAACAGCCGAAGGAGAAGTTGGCCATTGTTGCCGAACTAGCAGGCGAGTTGTCATCTGTGTCCAATATCCAGAGGTTTCTGCATTGCGTTACTCCTTCAGTCAAGGTGCAGTAGCTCTCCAAGGTCTATTAATTACACTATGTTAGTTTAGTTAATAATACAACTAGAAACTCGTCTTCAATTAAATCTTGGAATAACTGAAGATCTAACATGTTGCATTTCGTTTAAATGGTAGAAGTAATGATTGCATCTGACTGGATATATTATTTACTATCTCTGTTTGAACTTTCTTAAATTGGATTTCTTTCAGCCTCTCTTCCTGTTTAGCTTTTAATGCTTATAGAAACGAGGTTTTGATTTATTTCTTCCTGCTAACAGACAACAACGAGGAACAATAAGATGCACGACGAAGGGTTTAAGCCATACTATGTGTTAGGAGATTTGTGGGAGGCTTTCAAAGAGTGGAGCGCATATGGTGCTGGAGTGCCATTGATTTTGAATGAAATGGATAATGTGGTTCAGTACTATGTGCCCTACTTATCTGGCATCCAATTATATGCTGAGTCTTCGAAGTCTTCACATAAATCAAGGTAATAGATTTGCACTTCCTTCTGTATTTCAATTCTCAACTATTAATCCTGTATGGGACTCGAGGTGATTCATCCTATGTATGGCATGCATCTCTTATGATTCGTCCTCTTAAATTTTGTCTCTTTTGTTTACAGTATCACTCTATTTATTTTGAACTGGGAATTTCCAAATATGCAGCCTGTGTATCTGTTTACTATTACAATATAGCATTATCTTTAATACGCATGTATCCAAAACAGTGCCCATCTTATGGGTTAAATATTGAAATGTATTATACTATTATAAACATTGTTTCATAATATCCCTATACATTTAGCACGTAAATGGGTACACATATGGGTATGGGAATCAACATTTTCCTTAAAAATAAGAGACGCAACACATGGTACCGTCAAGGAAATGACAACTTCTATGCAAACATATGTCAAGCTTTTAAAGTAACATTGGACATTTTGATCTTTAAATCATGCTGACTTTGTGCTTCTTGCAAGTTTTATTTGCTTTGCATCTATTTTGGAACAAAAAAAACAATTCAACTTATGATTTAAATCGACTCAGCCTGTCAGCCCTTTGTTACTTCAATGCAATTTTGTATTAAATAAAGTTTGCAAAAAAAAAGCATTTAAACCATAGTCACAGAATTCACTGCTACAGCCACGTCTTCCGTATTGGTACGTGGCGTAGCCAATCGCAATTCGATTGTGATCCAAACATTGGCGGTACGGCGTACCAAAACTCGATCCAGATCTGTACAGTTCTGCAGTTGAAACTAGGGTTACCGATCCAACCTTACTATCGCCTCGAATTGCCTGGGTTTGCGATTCAGATCGCGAGATAATAGAGATCGTCCGGATCGGCGGCTGGGATGGTGATCAAGGAAACGATTTCCGAAAAAGAAACAAAGCAACCCTTAGATTTTGATGGAAGCTACTGTCTACTATGCACTACTGCTTTTAATAAAAAGCACAATACCTTCTATTTTCTCTTTTGGGCTCAAATTCTTATTGGGACCAACTTGCTTCTAATTTCTTTTTTGCCATATTTTTTCTACTAACCTTTTTTTACAGTTATCTATTGATATTCAGAAATTTTGTTTACTTATGTTTTGACTTTTGGTACGCCGAACCAAATACATGGTAAACCATGCCGCTTCGTACCAAAATGAGCCTACCCTCCTTCGTACTGAATTCATCACCTCTAGCAAATTTCGTACCCGAACCCCGTACCCGTACCGGAACGTACTGCGATTTAGGTGACTATGATTTAAACATAGTGGTGAAAAGCGGGCCTCAGGCGCGCATTGTGTAAGGCACAGGGCTCTGCGCATTCTTCGTGGTGATGCAGGCAATGCTTGTTATGCGAGCACATACCTGCACATCAGCGCAATAAGCGATGCGACTGGATGCGATAAAATGCGTTCATTGCGAACATGGATAAAGTTGTTATATTTATATTTTTTTAGGGTTGACTCAGCCAAAACTTTCACTTTTCTCTGTGTTTCTTTCTGCTGCTTCGTTTCTTTTGCCACTTTATCTCTAGGGCTTCTTCTCTCTCGTTCGACTTTGCTTCCTCCCCTAATTGATTTTGCTTCTGCTTGCTTCATGTTTCTGTTTCTTTTATATTTTTTTCATTGTTTTAATTGTGAGGCTTCCCTTTTTTCCTTCTCTTTAGTTTTGTTTCTTCATGTTCATACATGAGACATGACTCTATTTGGAATTGGCTGCTGGCACGTTTCAACTGAATAAATGGGTTCTTTAATTTTTTTAAATCATGAGGCATCCTCTTTTTTCTTTATCACTTAATTTTGTTTCTTTCCCTTCATATACACTATTTTGACGGAGGGGATTGGCTCAACATTTGAGGCTTCTTTCATTGTTTGATGTTCCACAACTCATTATTTGTTTGTGGCATGTTTTTTGCCACTGGCTGCTTTTGTTCTTTGAAATTTAGGTTTTCTATGTTTATGGTAGTGTGTGACTTTGATTCTTGGTTGCTTTCTGAAAGTTTATTACGCGTATGTCTTTCACAATAATATATGTATGTATGTATGTATGTATGTATGTATGTATGTATGTATGTATGTATGTATGTATGTATGTATGTATGTATGTATGTATGTATGTATGTATGTATGTATGTATGTATGTATGTATGTATGTATGTTTGTATGTATGTATGTATGTATGTATGTATG